AGTATGACATTAACATTACCTGTAATGTACCAGTATGACATTACCTGTAATGTACCAGTATGACATTACCTTTACCTATAATGTACCAGCATGACATTACCTGTAATGTACCAGTATGACATTACCTGTAATGTACCAGTATGATATTACCTGTAATGTATCAGCATGACATTACCTGTAATATACCAGTATGACATTACCTATAATGTACCAGTATGACATTACCTGTAATGTACCAGTATGACATTACCTGTAATGTATCAGCATGACATTACCTGTAATGTACCAGTATGACATTACCTGTAACACACAGGTGAGAAGTCGTTACCTGTTGCCCACGTCAGGCTTCATGTTCTCAGCTTCCTCATCCTTGTTCACTTCAAACACGTCCAGCAGCCTCATGCGGTACAGGCTGTGTGTCGGCGCGTGCGTGTTCAGCAGGTATCTCTTAATTAACTGAAGCCAGAACCAAGTCGTTACCACTGTTACGGTCTCTACATCCAGAGTTGCTAGGTTACAGTCACTACATCCACGGTTGCTAGGTTAGTCACTACATCCAGGGTTGCTAGGTTACAGTATCTACATCTATAATTGCCAGGTTACAGTCTCTACATCCACGGTTGCTAGGTTACAGACTACATCCACGGTTGCTAGGTTACCGTACCGAGTACTCGTCTGACGTTGGCTTCAGTATGGTGAGGCCGCACGACAGCGAGCGATACTTCTGGTCGGCGGGGTGCAGGGCGTCGTCCGCGCTCTTCTGCAGATTCCTGATCGCCACCTCGATGTCAGCGAGCGCCTGCACACAGAGGGCGCTGCATTAGCATCCTCAGCGACGGTGGTTAACGGCATCGGTCACCACGACGACGTTGATTCCGACACTTATTATCACGATAACCATCATCACACCTACTATGACCTTGACGACTATGGCAACGACTCTTATTACCATGATGATTATCAACACGACAACTATCACCACGGTGACTATTCCCACAACAACTATGACAAGAACACTTAATACCACAATGACTATCACCATGACAATTATCACATGAATGACCACCACCACATCATGATCAATTATTATCACTGCAATTATTCCCACGGCAGAGATGCCAACACATATTTGAAGCAATCTGTATAGTTTCTGGCCATCAAATTAGTAGTTCGAGGGTCATGTAGTGAGT